GCATTGAAGGCAATAGCTTGGATGCACGAGCGCCACTGAGGGCGCGACTGGGCCATGTCTGATAATGTCTCTAGCCATTGATGTGGCCCGTCTCGTGGTCCCCATCCAGGAAGACGGCAGTGACCAGCGCAGCTGAGTTTGCTGGTAATGGCCTTCATACTTCGCTGCCAAGTCATTGTTTGACCGCCTCTGGCAGAGAAGAAAGCAACTGTTTAGAATTATTTCAACTTGATTGAAAATCAGAAAAACACGCGTTTTAAAGCCCAGATAGGTGAAAACAAATTGTAATCTGGCGAGACGACAGTCTGACACCTGAAGAGTGAAGAACAATCTATAATCAAAGGCTCAAATATTCGCTTTGTTGGTGATAGGTGCGTTACCTCCAAGATGGCACTCAGTATCGATATGAAACCGATTGCATAGTGAACATTACAGAGGCGCACTGGATGACTGAATGTTCCACGTTTTGTCGACAGGGTGAGGTAACATTGGCATCTTCTGTTTCGATTGTGTGTATATAAAAGAATGTCAACATAGTCACTTTAAATTTTTGTCAGTTCAAGATACCTTAACATCTTGAAACAGAATCAGCTGTTTCTTGGAATATTTACGGAGCTCAAAGGAAGGATGAGTCATAAACGATCGGTATATTAAGAGTATCGTTTAGCAGTCGCGTTCCAAACTTGGTAGACTAAGCCGGATTCGCGGCTTCCAAAATGTTTAAAGCGGTGTTTTGGATTTTTACAGGGGTTGAATCATGCATGCAAACACCCAGTTGGAATTAGGACAACTTGCCGAGTGCTAGAGATAACCGCAACTTGGAGGTTGCACACTTTAGTAGCTCATTGATTATTACTGTGTCATCATATATCTCACGCAAACTGGCGATCAGACAACTCTGATCTTTACGAGTAAGGCAAAAGTGCTTGTCACCAGGCCATGATTTTCTCGCACCTAGCACCAGTCATCCGGTTTTTTTTAAAAAAGACGATCAGCGTTGGCCTCGTTTGGCATCTGTTCAGTATTTTCTTCAAAGGATGTGTGTGACACTAAATACTGATGATACTATTGTTCCGTTATGCGCAGTGTACTCTAACTCTGGAAACGACCGCCATGAGTCCGGAATCCTCGCGTTTTTTCTTGGATACTAGTAACAATAAGAGAGATAATCGTTTAGCTGTAACAAACACCCTTTCGGTGCCTATCTCCCTTTCCACTCGAATAAAGCATGAGGGCTGGGGTACTGTTTGGGGCCAGATGGCTCAGTGGTTAGAGCACGAGTTTACTGACCGGAAGGTCCGTGGTTAGAACCCGACCTCTGCCTTTCGAGTTCCCCTTGGACAACCTGGCAGCACCCCAGCCGTCATGCTTTATTCGAGTGGAAAGGGAGATAGGCACCGAATGGGTGCTACAGCCAAACGATTTACTGTCGGGTTAACGAAGCCTTGACAGGAGCAGTCGAGATTCTCGGGGGGTTGGCTCGAACACAGACCTTAGTAAGTTCGGGCCTTAACCACTGAGCTCTGTCCAGTTCATGGACCCTAGAGCCCACTTCGTGCGTGCCATCCTTTCCATTTGGATTCCGTTAGTACCACTAGATTTCATTCAGACGCCTCTGGTCACAATATTTCCGTATCTGGGTTACTTTTCCTCAACTTGCCGAGTGCTAGAGAGAACCGCAACTTGGAGGTTGCACACTTTAGTAGCTCATTGATTATCACTGTGTCATCATATATCTCACGCAAGCTGGCACTCAGACAACTCTGATCTTTACGAATAAGGCAAAAGTGCTTATCACCAGGCCACGACTTTCTCGCACCTAGCACCACCTACCCGGTTTTGTTTTTGGAAAAAGACGGTCAGCGTTGGCCTCATTTAGGACCTAATCAATATTTTCTCCAAAAGACGTTTGTAACACACTAAATACTGATGAAACTATTGTTCTGTTGTCCGCAGTGTACTCTAAACTAACTCTGAAAACAGTACGACCGCCATGAGTCCGGAATCCTCGCGTTTTTTCTTGGATACTAGTAACAATAAGAGAGATAATCGTTTAGCTGTAACAAACACCCTTTCGGTGCCTATCTCCCTTTCCACTCGAATAAAGCATGAGGGCTGGGGTACTGTTTGGGGCCAGATGGCTCAGTGGTTAGAGCACGAGTTTACTGACCGGAAGGTCCGTGGTTAGAACCCGACCTCTGCCTTTCGAGTTCCCCTTGGACAACCTGGCAGCACCCCAGCCGTCATGCTTTATTCGAGTGGAAAGGGAGATAGGCACCGAATGGGTGCTACAGCCAAACGATTTACTGTCGGGTTAACGAAGCCTTGACAGGAGCAGTCGAGATTCTCGGGGGGTTGGCTCGAACACAGACCTTAGTAAGTTCGGGCCTTAACCACTGAGCTCTGTCCAGTTCATGGACCCTAGAGCCCACTTCGTGCGTGCCATCCTTTCCATTTGGATTCCGTTAGTACCACTAGATTTCATTCAGACGCCTCTGGTCACAATATTTCCGTATCTGGGTTACTTTTCCTCACCCAAGCTTTCAATACTACTGCACACGGTCAGACAGGTCCCACCTATATGTCCCAAGCAACTCGCTTAGCTGTGTTGTGCTCGGTGGTCTTTTCGACTTCGCACGCACAACGCGTATACTTCGAGTATACTACGTAGATCACGGGTACTGGTTGTGTACAACAAGCACTTGAGTCGAATGACGCGTACGTATATTGATGACATCCACGCAGATAAGTCCGGAGAACGGCCTAGTGACGTCATATTCTTTGCATAAACCTTGGGCTCTGACGGGTCGTTTGAAAACACCACAAATTCGCGTCCAGGTAACAAAAAAGCAACAGAGTTGCACATTGAAAATCGAACTTAGTGGGTTTCGATGTCGCCAGACAGAGTTGAAAGACGAAGTCAGTCGTAACAACCCCCATTTTCTAGTTCGGACATTTTCTTCAGAGGCTGCAAATTCATCATCCCAGTTGCGTGGATGACTCAGATTCAGCAACTCGATGATTTCCTTTTTTCCCTTTACCGGTGCCATAGCGTTCAAGGGACGTGAGCGAACCGGTTAGAAGCTGGCAAAAGTGGCAAAAATATACTGTTCATTTCATCGTCCAGCTGCAGTACCCTTTCGGTACCTAACTGCCATGCTACCAGAAGGTTGCACGAGGGCTGGGATACTGCCAGGTTGCCCAAGCCTAAACAGGGGAAGTCGAGAGGCGGAGGTCAAGTTCGAACCACGAACCTACTGGTCAGTAAATTCATGCTGTAACCACTTGGGCCGTCATTAGACTGCTAAAAACGACTCTCTAGTCTCAACCAGGAGAGCCACTGTGAATGCCGCGGTATTGCTGATGATCTGTTTGGCTGTCATTCTTTGTTTTCCGTCCACTTTCTTGCAGTTCCGGGTGACTAAAACAATTGTCTTCTCTGATGGTTAAACCGCCGGTAAAACTGAGGCGTTCGGCGTGTTATTAACCAATGCGTTCTGGAAATACCCCGGGAAACACTGTCCTCTACAAATGGGTTGCATTCACTCAGGCGTCGCTTGGGGGTCCAGTGTAGTTATCCTATAAGTGTGCGGAAACTGTAGTTGGACGTACTACACTACTTATAAGGTTGTTGAAAGTTCTTCGACCACCCACGAACGGTTTCGCTTTTCTTGGGGCTCATCGGGTAGTCCCCGAGTTTCCGTTAACCTTATGTTCTGCTTGAACCCAACTGGATCTCTCATTTATTAAGTTCTTCATAAGGCTGACCGGGAATACGGTGATCTGACCGACATGATGAGCACCAAAATAAGCGAAAAAGGTCATGTTGAAGAGATTTTCAGTAAACTTTTGAGTAGTATGTTACGCCTCGACAAGATGAGCGTTGGTTTGCGCCGTAGACTTGCTTATGGCATCACCAGACGAATTTCGGCTTATCAATTTGGTGCGCCGGCTGATGCAATCCTGGAAGATTCATCCGAAATCGCATTCCTTCTAACTGACAAGAAACAGAAATTATAACAAAACTGGCTGGATTTGTGTGGTTGCTGAAAAAATTCTTGGAAAGCCCACGATCAACTTCCCTTTTCTTGGTTTAAAAATGGATGTACTTCCTGAATTTTGTGCAGTTTAGGCTCAAGTGGAACATAAAGGTGATGGAGACTCGTAGACTACGCCCACCTGGTAAGCTCAAGTTGGACGGGCGAAAATGGTTGTATACTGTCAAAGAGATTTCAGCAACCTTGTGAGTAGTGCATTATGTCTATACAGTGAACCAACTCAGTCATGAGGCGGCCTGATGGGGCACATTCAATCGCCTAAGAACATCATAAATGAGAGATTCAGCTAACTTACAGGTGGGTCTCCCGCAAAACCGAATTGGTTTATAAATGGGTGCATTTCACCTTACTGTAGTTACTTCCTTCGGACAGAATAACTTACTGAACTCCCTGTGTAACGGTGGATACTACTTCTGAGGCACGCGAGTAGTATGTTTTCTCGTAAATCCGCTTCGCGTCTCTTGAAAAGTGAGATCTATTACGGAATTTGTGGAGTCGCATTTGCTTGCATTTGAGTAACAGTCAATGAATATCCAGGAAATTTCAGGAAGGCGCGTTCAAGGAGAAGATGGATATTCTGTTTTTGTAAACAAGATACATATGAGTGTTTTGCCTCCCTTGTCAATAGTCTGTAACTGCTCAGTTGGTGTTTTCTAATGAAATCCTTCTTCGTTTCACCTGTACGCTAGGTAATACAGAATTGGATAAAGGGTGCTTGCTCAGTTTGTAACCAAATAGATCCTGCGCCTAAATGTCATTTCGGAAGACCACATTTAGCTATCTCCGAAGGCTGAGTTCACACAGCAATGGCTGTTAGCGTCAAAGAGAGGTTTTGTGTGGTGAGGACGACAGTGGTGTTCGGATAATTTATTCCCATCCATTACTGCTCATCACGATCCCTAGGTGGACATATTTTATTTGCAACTCTGATTTTATAAGCCCAAGATAACTGGGTTGCTGAAGCGCGAACTTAATAACCAGAAGATCCTAGATGGGTACCTTGAGACGGGCCATATCTATGGTTAGAGACATTGTCAGACATGGCCCAGTCGCACCCTCAATGGCGCTCATCCATCCAAGCTATTGCCTTCAATGCATAGCTACTTTTCCAACCCCCTCCCCAGTTGACAGTCCATCTACAGTGCTGCATTTGTGCACCAATTTATCAGCTCCCACCTCCAATGCGCAGCTACCTACCCCACCTCCCCAAATCATCGGTGAACGAAACTGTGGCAGGTGCAACCACTGTACGACGAGTACGCGGTTATTACAGCTGACAATGATGATGATGCTAATGACCTCAACCGTTCCTGTCCAGGCTTCGACAAAATTACTGTGTCTCACCCCTCCAGCTCCTTGCGGATAGCGTGGCAGCTAGGCACCGACAGTGTGACAGCTGAACAATGACGACACAATTTGTGAGCGATGCCCTTTTATTTGAGCACATTGTTCACTGATATAGGTGCTCCTACGCTATGTTGTCTGGTGGTTTGTGGTCTCAGGTGTGTCCTGTTTTATAAACAAGAAACCGCTAACTCCTGTAGAGAGGTACTACTTATACGGAGCGTTTGTTAAAAGTAGACTTGGTACTCAGTTGCATGGCACACTAGGAGGCCGAATAGTGAATTATAAAGCAAATAAAATGAGGTTAAATTTCAATTCCTGCAGACTGTCTCACTCCCTTTAGCTAACTCCTGTAGAGAGGTACTACTTATACGGAGCGTTTGTTAAAAGTAGACTTGGTACTCAGTTGCATGGCACACTAGGAGGCCGAATAGTGAATTATAAAGCAAATAAAATGAGGTTAAATTTCAATTCCTGCAGACTGTCTCACTCCTTTTAGAATAACTATCCTCGTGGCTCGTCCCTGTAGGGAGGGATTGTACAACAGCACTTACGTAGCTACCGATTTTTGGGCTTTCTTTTTCAATCTACGTTTAAATGTCTTATTTACTCACTCCATTGTAGGTTACGATGGGACGAGCAATGTGCTTGCCGGGAAGATGTTTGGTATTCCCGTGGTTGGAACGCATGCGCACTCGTTCATATCTGCCTTTCAGGGCAATGTAAGTTTCCCCGTCATCGGTACCGAAAACAGGATTTCTTTCTGCAGTTTCATTCAACCCCTATGTAAAAGTCGGCTTGTGGCCTACGACGGTTTTTGCTTGTTTTATCTTACCCACACTGTATTCATCTCATGGTCGGTCACCCGACCCAGGTCATGTGACCTGGGCTGCGTGAAAAACGAGTGACCTCATATCCCATCCAGTTGTGGTGTTGATCAACCACCCGTTCGTAGTGGGTCCTAAGCTTCTTCAAGCTGCGTGACACTATTTACGCTTCCGAAAATGCGAATAAAAACTCTAAATATTTATGTACTGCACTACTCATAAGGTTGCTGAAAACTCCTCGACAGCCCACGACCAGTTTCGCCCTTCTTGGGGCTCATCAGGTAGGTGCAGTCCCCGAGTTTTCGTCAACCTAATGTTCAACTTGAAACCTAATTGCAAGAAGTAAGCGAAATACATTCATTTACGAACGAATTTGGTTTTTCGAGAGACTCACCTGGAACCCAGCGGAATCTCTCGTTCGTGATCTTCCCAGGCAACTGAATGCGCTGCACCAGGCCACCTCATGTTTCAGTCGCTACGATGATATTCGAGATATCGCGATACATGTATATTTGTGATGCACTACACGTAAGACTGCTGAAAATTCGTCGACAGCCCACGACAGGTTTCGCCCTTCTTGGAGCTCATCAGATAGACACAGTCCCTAAGTTTCCGTCAACCTTATGTTCTACTCGAAACCAAATTGCACGAAATGAGCTACCTTCGCGAAATTCAGTTGCCTGGAAACATCAGAACCGAGAGATTCAGCTGGGTTCCAGGTGGGTCTCTTGAAAAACCAAATTAGTTTGCAAACCAGTGTATTTCTCTAAATATTTAACCTAGACTGAATACACCTGCGGAATAAGCCTCATTTGTTAAAATATTAGAGCAACTGATCAGCGTAGGCACCATCCGGTTTCGTGTTGCTCCGGCAGATTTTTGATGAATCATATCGCCGTTTTATCTAATTTGAGCCAGCAAAATCCAAAGTAGTATGCATGTCCTTCGGAGCAAGTAACTCACCCCACGGAATCGATGCTGGTCGCCTGTGTCTTTGAACACAGTAGCGATGGGAAACTGCTTGTCATGGGTCCCACTTGTGTACCTACCGCTCCTGTCATTCTCATGGGACACTCCGTATGTAATAACGGTCAAATATAATAAAACTTCCTGACGGTGTTGTTAGATGGCCCACTAAGACCGGACTGTCGAAAGAGAAATTATCAACCGCCGAGCGAGCTTTTACGCTGAATTTCGTTCATTCTTTCACCGTGTTTGCTTTTTCACAGAGCAGGTGGTGTCATACACCTTTCGGGATATCCATCAAGGTTCCGTTTGACTTAAACTGTCCGCCGAATGAATACACACAGGCTGTCTAACATTGGCATTCACGTGAAAGTAAGAACAACAACAAGGTTAAGAGATGAATTCATTTCGTCATTCCTCTTCCGCGGTGCTCGTAAAACGGGATAGAGTGAAACAACCTATGGGGCGAGATGAACCAAGTGGTTAGAGCGCGAATTTACTGACCGGAAGGTCCGTGGTTCGAACCCGACCCGCTCTGCTTCTCGACTTCCCCTGTCTAGGCTTGGGCAACCTGACAGTATCCCAGCCCTCGTGCTTCCTTCGGGTGGCATGGCAGTTAGGCACCGAAAGGGCGCTACAGCTGAACGAAACAACCTAAAGGACTAGTTTGCGTCCATATTGTGCGCTAAACTGCAACGTGACCAATTAATGAAGCCGGCGTCGACTCAGAGTAAGTTTCAGGTCCTTCTGAAAACACAGTACAAGCCAATATCGAATAGTCAGCATTACCTCCAGGAACTTTAATTCATGTGGACAGATACTTCGTGCTATAACTTGGAGAGATGAACGTATTTCGTAGTCTAGTCTCGCCCTGGTGTCTAGTCATCGATGGCTCGGTTTCCGGTAGTTCCAGTTTTAATCAGGATCACCCATCGGGTTCTCTTTTGCTCACTTTTCTAGGTTTCGTTCACCCCCGCAAACCGCAGGTGAATTGGTAAATGCAACGACTGGTTTACGAAAGCGATGTTTCGGTGACGTTTGTGCTCTAAACTGAGAGTAAATGTTCAGCCTACTCTTCATCACGAGTAGAATATTGTATTAATACGAAGGGAGTAGCTGGCTGTATTTTTCTACCGATTCACTCAAGTTTCGCCATACGAGTATTTGCCAATGGGGGAGGCTCAAACGACTCCCGATAACGACACGACCAATATGTTCACAGCCGTTGCCTTGATAGGGGGCGAGATTGTTTGATGATCAGAGCGCGAATTAGCTTACCGGAAGGTATATGGTTCGAACCCGACCTCTCATCTCGACTTTTCCTGTCTAGGTTTGGGCAGTCTGGCAGTATCCTAGCCCTCGTGCTTTCTTCGGGCATGGCAGCTGGGCACCAAAAGAGTGCTACACCTGAACGATTTTCTATAATGAAATTGGTTCATTGAGAATAGATGTGGGTAGATTCGTCAGAGGGGTGTAGAGAACCACAGTTTTTGTGACCGGGGGGGCATCGGTGAACAGTGATTACGCATCAAAGGAACACGTGATTTTGTGGGCGAAATCAAAATTCTCAAAGTAGAGTAGAAGTACTATTGAAACAATGTTTAGTGGAATACCTATCAGCCATCTGGCTAACTGGTGATGAGAAGAACCGTTCATAGCTAAAATGGGACAAATGAGTACATGGGGTTTACGAGTTTTCTGAAATCCGTAGAGTTGAGATGTGCGGAAACCGACAAATGTAAGCCTGAATTATTTGATGTATGGTGGACGTGATAGCAACAACAACAAATTGTCAACTTCATGGACCGCAGTGGTTGGTTAGCAATATCTATGACTGCTTTACGTTGGACTGTGCGTGTCTGTGGAACTCACTCACTGCCTTTCTTCCTCTCTCTCTTTTTGCTAACCACAGAGTGATGTGAACCACCAGAAAAGTGTTGAGCCACCGGGGGATGATCTGAATGACGACAAACTTCGTGATCCGAGCTCTGTCCCGATGCAGTTGGACAAATTCCTTGAACGTTGTTGGCACTGGTCTCGTCGACTCAGTCACCTGCTCAATTACTCCCCGGATCAGGTTCATCATGGCGAATTGACTGCGTTTGCGAACTATGCGTTCGCGTTTCCGGATGCTTTCGTTGGCCTGATTGATACGTATGATGTGCTGCGGTACGTGCTGTTTGTGTTTCCGTTTCTGTGCTTTTGTGTTGCACGTGCGCACTTCACACTTACCTTACTGGTCGTCATCACTGACAACAACACCTGATGAGAACACTGGTGCTTCACTGTACCTAGTAGAGGAGTATCTCTTCATCCAATTTGTCTAAATGTCATGAATGTATACGATACGCCGTTCAGCTGTAACACCCTACCGATGCCTAGCTGCCGTACCACCCGAAGGAAGCACGAGGGCTGGGATACTGTCAGGTTGCCCAAGCCTAGACAGGGGAAGTCGAGAAGCAAAGCGGGTCGGGTTCGAACCACGGACCTTCTGGTCAGTAAGTCCGCGCTCTAAACACTTGAGTCATCTCGCCCCTCATGAATGTATGCTTCGATATGAACAAAGTTCCTCGTTTCACGCTTGCACAGCAATTACGATTCGTTTAATAAAAGGATGAAAAAAGTCGGAAATGAGGATATTCAGTGTCGAGAACGTTTCCAGGTCCAGTTGCCCAATTCGGATTGAAACTGGAAGTTCAAATTCTATTGTCCTCTGTTTTTGCCGCGTTTCTGTGTTGGTGCCTCGCGGTCTTCGCACTTGAGGAAACGATTTTGGTAGTATTGAGCTTTTACATAGCTCTTAAGAAAGTTCAGGGGCAACCTTGCTGACTGAGACGTCCGTGCTTCTAACACGACCTTTGCATCTTGACTACTCCTGTCAATGTTTGGTCAACCTGGCAGTATCTCAGTCTTCGGGTGACATACCATCTAGTCATAGAAAGGGTACTAGAGGTAAACGGTTATTCATTATTAGTATTATTGAATTTTCTGTCGCCTCCGTTCCCACATGGGTGTGGTGACCCCCCAGCACCCATGGGTGCGACAATTTCCAGTCCCCCCAAATGGCTGATTAGCTCTGCACTGCGTATCACCTCGGGGGTCGAAATGCTCCCCGGGACATCCGCTCAAGGATATGCTCACAGAGTACGCGCACGATATCGCAACCTGTGGTTCGGATCCTATGGGCGCGTACAAGTGTATGGCAAGCTTTCGCCTGAGTTCATCATGGTCAGTGATATAAGACGAGGCTGCCCTCTCTCACCTTTCGTCTTCAACTTTGTTATTGATGTGCTGCCGGAAATTTCCTTGCCTGTCTGGGGTCGAAATGTTCCCCTTCCGAAATGCAAATCATTGCAAATAGCCTAACCTGCCGCACGGTCTGGGATGCGCCCCACACCTGCCAAGTGTAAAGTACTGCTACATGACTAGGTGGGATCGGATACAAACCTCATGTTTACAGACGAGTGAATCGACTTAGTAGATAAAACTGTATCTAGCCAGTTGTGTAAGTTCTGGTGGACTGGCTGAAGACTAGAATCCTTCACGAATCGGGTAGGCTAGGTCAGTTTTTGCCAACCTCCGATACCTAGGGCATCCACTTGACGTAAGTTTGCTTGCCGCGGTGCGATCCATACTAGTTTGTGGATCAGAAACGTGGCCTCTATGCGCAGATGTATGAAAACTGCTAACGTTTGAACATCGTTGTCACTGAAGCGTTAGTTGAGTCTGATGGGAACATCCAATAAGTAGTGCTGATAGTTTAAGGAGGGAGGAACTCTCCCACGACAGGTGAATCAGTAGGAAATGGAATTCACATGCTAAGGACAGTCTGCCTCGCAGAGCTCTGTGTTAAGTGGAAGAGACCAACAGGTGACAAGTACACAGGTTTACGGAGTCACGTTTTCAGTTGGTGTCAGCCTTGTCGAAAGCGTAGGACATTCACTTTAGCCTCCCTCCAAGAGGAGGTGACAAATCACTTGACGTTGTGTTGCAGTCCGCCAAACTGATCGTCTCTCAGAAAATCACGCGTTGAAACTGCATCATTGTACTAGTTTGGTGGATTAACGGGCTTTGTCTTAAATTTATGGGGGAGGTTGGTGACTTCGTTTGGGACACATTCACCAGACATGAGCTACGGAACTGCTGACTGAGGCAGTGCATACGGGATGAGGATAAATAACTTTTCGGCAGACTGTCCTCCCCTCAGCTCAACTGATCCTCGAGATACTTCTGAACCTTAGATCCGGTTGATTAGCCGGCCAACCGGGAGATTCATGCTAGTCTCATATTACAACAATCTCCGTTTGCAGGTGGGTTTAAAACCCCAATTAGGAATAGTTGTTGGATTTATCCAAGCCTCAGATTGGAGTGTCCGAGAAGGCCTGAACTTCCTGGGTTTCCCCAGTGAAAGTTGAATTGGAACAGACACGACTTGCACTGCCATGTGACCTCGGTACCACAGCCCACTCGCATTTAGGCGTCATTTAGTGAACTTGTGACGGACCTCACTGTCTGTTTTTGACAGTAGTTGTTCAAGCCATTGCCTTTTCTTTCAGACAAATGGGACCAGATTATTCCAATCGTGACAAGGAGTAGTGCGGTTGAGTGGATAGCATTGAAGATATCTCCTCGGCTGCGAAAGAAAACTTTTCAAGCTGATTACCAAGCTTGGCGAACAGCCGGTGAGCGAAGGGTGGCAAGAGCAAATGATACCGGTTGTTCAGGCCGAAGAAGAGGGTTTAGTTGTGGTACTCCAACTTGAACCTTTGACTCTAGAAATGTTTCACCCACAAGCAGTGGAAGGATGTAGGGTTTTGTTCAGGGACCCTACCTTAGCCTCTGACTCAGCAGTCTGGACCGCGAGACAACGGTTGTTAGGGTTTTCTTGGGAGACCCTTCCCGGAGTCAGTGACTCTATAGTCTGACTTACTTGGCTGTAGGGGACCGGCTTGGCCCGAGGGCGCAGGAAGTAAGGCATTACTGTTTCACCCTTGCTGCGGCTGAGCACAGCAGCTGCCTTTTGAGCAACACAGTGATCTTTGGTTTCAAAAGTATTTTGACCGTATTGAATAATGCGCCGATGGTCACGGTCAACCTTTGGATGATCGAAGTGTGCGGTTTTTGGGGCCAACCTTTTCTAACCTGTCCTTCCACGGGGGAAGGCACAATCGTTGTTTCCATAAACATGGACATGCTGGGGGGGACGTCTGGGGGAAACGCCTTACTGCCCCCACACTCCTATCGCAGAGTACAGTACGACTTTACCTCTAGACCGCCTCGTAATACGATTATTCGTAGTACGGGGACTCGCCTGGCTGCTCCCCGTTGGCCTTCCTGGTGTGGTTGAAACTTTAGGAACTGTGTTGTAGCCAGTATAACCCGCAGGATCATTGCAGCACAGAAGTCCGACCATCATGACAAGGTGACAGCTTTGGATCGCGGCTTGGCAAACAGGTCAACGGACAACTGGTCAACCTTGAGGTGCATTCTACGTATAACAGTATGATTTATTCTCTTGTTTGCATGTCTTGATCACAACCTACTTCCAAAAGGTTTTTGAACAACCACTCTGTCGGAATGAACTCACATCGTTTTCAATTAGAAGGCAATATTTCTTCTCATCAATTGAACTCCTTTTTAATGTGCTGCATCCTGACAGATCCGGGGTGCCCAATTTCTGTGCCGTTGGTCTCACGTTACATGAACACGGTCATCGACCTGTTGGAATACGCATCGATAGCGGGGATCTGGCGTTTTTGTCTCTCATGGTCCGGGATGCTTTCAAGAAGATAGCCCAACAGTGAGTTTGTTTTTTGCCCTTTTGTAGCCGAGCACCCTTGATGTCCCCTTCTTTTTCAAACTGCACAGCTGTTTTATCGTTTTCTTTTCGGAGTCATCACCAGTATGCATCTGACCAACTCCAGGGAGCCTGGGAACCACGACACTCAGTGGTTGAACGTTTCACTGTTTGACCACGAGCAGCTTATCGGCATTGTGATCAACTCGTGCTTAGACAGGATGAAACGCCCCTTGTCGTTCAACCACCTGTCCTTAATCCACTTCAATTAGTCACTCATCGACTGATCCCTCGATTGACGAATCCTCATTTTATGAATTTATTCTCCCTGTGCTACTTACAAATTGCCGGTAGTGTGAGGAGATTCGGGTATTTTCAATAGAAATTTTATCCTGGTATTGAAGTCAGTCTGTGCTGAAAAGTGGAGAGCCCTGTAAAGTCGTTTCATCCTTGTTGGAAATAAAAAGCTAACGAAATTTATGGCTTCAAGCCGCCAAGCTGAAGAAGTGATATCACATTTTTATCCTCCTAAGAAAACTAGTGACACTACCAGACACGAATTTCTCACTGTCACACGAACCGAAGTCGTTCTATCAATGGGGACCCAGAATTTTTCTGAGACGCAACCCAGCCGAGGTAATACGTCTCTAGAAGACCACAAAACTCAATGAACCACACTTGATGCTCGCCTCTGCATACCGACAAACGAGAGATGAATGCTGCCTGTTACTGGTTGGCCCCAGCAATAACTCTGGTGCGTCGGGGCTGCAGGTGCTATAAATGATGGGCGAAGTCACAAACATTGATGCCTAAATGCATAATATGACTGTTGATAGGTACCTGGAGACGGAAAACATCGGCAGTTGAAGATATGTACAGACATGGACCAGTCACGCACTCCGTGGCGCGCGTGCTTCCAAGCCGTGGCATTCAATAAATAGACCTCCTCCCGTTATCTCCAACGAAACTTGTTATGTTTTCAAAGCTAAATATGATGAGTGTGACTGGTGCCGCTTCATTTTTCACCCATTTTCCCATTTATCGATTGGGATACCAGTGTAACGGTGAATGCTACTGATGTGGCATATGAGTAGTATGTTTTCTCGTAAATCCGCTTCGCGTCTCTGTTACGGAATTTGTGGAGTTGCTTTGTAGCATTTGCTTGCATTTGAGTAACAGTCAATGAATATCCAGGAAAGTTTAGGAAGACGCGTTCAACGAGAAGATGGATATTCAGCTTTTGTAAACAAGATGCATATGAGGGTTTCGCTTCCCTGGCTAATAGTCTGTAACTGATCAGTTCCGCAGCGAAGGCGTTCTTCCTTTCATCAGTAGAATGATGCTCAATTAAGTATGCTTCCCCGATAGAACGGCCAAATAGAAAACGTGAGTTGACCATGTCATTCTAATAGACCGTGTGTTTGTATTTGTAATCGTAGAGGGGGTGTGGCCTCATGTTTCGGGTCTCAGCACACACAAGGTAGAAATAGCCGTCTATTGAATCCCTGAGTAGGGCGGTGCGAAGCGTCATGAAGAAAGCCTACCCCCACACTCAAACACAAAGGCATTCTTGCTGCCCTGCACGTTGAATGCATGATAGAACTGGCCATTTCGATATTCAGTGGAACATACTATAGAGTTCCGCAAGGCTCATCTATAGAAAGTCTTTGCTCCTCATTGGATACGATCGGCAGGTTCTAAGGAGATTGGCAACACTTTTAAGTTGTTGACCACTGTGCCATACGCGCACCTACTACCGTGGCTAAGTTGAAACTAAATACCACAGATTCTTATCGGCAGACTACCTGTCATCTACTTACCTACGCACTCTGGTTCCATCACTTTTTTTCCAGCTACAACATACCCTGGTTTGAAGACCTACGAATTTTGGTTAGCAACGATTTGAATGAAGACACGCTACACTCATTAAATCTACAGGTAGGTGGTACACCTTGTGTTGCTCGTCCATATCTTTTCGGCGGCAAATTTGCGCACAGTGGTGGATTGTCACGCACAGCTTTCCCCCTTTGCCCATCTGGCTGTCTCGTTAAAATTGATTCATCTAATGTGTGGCCTTCCGCACCGCTTATTGCCAAACCACCTGGTTCTTATTGCTGCATATGAGCATCAGTGTTGATTTTTTCGCTTGCAGTTCAAGGGCGGTCTGTCGTTTGATCAAAATAGAACATTTCTTGTGCCTGCCAACCCCTAGAAGTTCCCAACACTCGCTGAGTTAAATTTCTATGTTGTTCCGCAAAGTTGTCCCTCTGATTTTCGAACGCCTGCGACCAAATTAGCGAGCTTATTTTTCAAAAGTTCTTTACTATGTGTATTTGAGTGATGTGATAATCCTGTGATCAGTAATTTTCTTAGGAGTCCTTTGGTTTAAGTGCACTCTCTTTGAAGCCTGTCAATAGGCCCAGTTGTGTACTCTCAATATCTGATAGATCCACTCATTGCTTGCGGAACGGCATCAGTTAGGTGAGATCGTACACAACAGCGTATTCCTCATACACCCGATTCATCATCGGTGTGATGCAGATCCTAGCAGAATTCACAAAGCTTACGCGGTTTGTCTGTCTAACTGTCTGTCTAACTCTGTCTAGCTGTCTGTATATTTGCCTGTCTGTATGTCTATCTGTCTGTCTGTCTATCTCTCTATCTGTCTATCTGTCTATTTCTATCTGTCTGTCTGTCTCTGTCTGTCTGTTTGCCCGCCTGTCTGTCTGTCTGTCTGTCTGATTGTCCTACTTTGCATATGTTCAAGGCAGCACTCTGATGCTGACCTCCTTCCAAATATCAGCCACTGTTCACCACCATGTTGCCAGTCTTTGACTTCCCACACTTTTTGGTCCGATTTGTATTGCAGCTACCGCCTCGTGTAAGACTACCATCTCTACATCCCGGTTGATTCATTGGTTTGTGGCCCATTTTCCAACGTATTCTGTGTTCTCTTTTGCATGCGTTCTCTCATTTCGTGTTGGTGATTGTTGTTGACTATCATTCATCCATTCCTCTCTCGCATTGTGTGTTCTAACTGAGGTACACGTGACCGCTTGTTTTGCCTGTTCTTGACGTTTGTTCTACTTATTATCGCTTATCTCGTTGCACGATGCTCGTGTTGTCCGTTCTCTGAGGTAGGATAAGTTATCCTGTGCTATCCCAGAAAAGTGACCACTCCTGTCCGTCAAGCAGGGTGTTGGACCGAAGGTGAAGCGAGTCTCACCCATGTTAGCCAGTTTATGGTGCTTCGGTCTCGGAGCGATCACTGTTACCACCTTTCGGTTCGGCAGAATGGTATACCGTCAGTTTGGCTCTCTATACACTGTATCATCGTGCAAGCAGATTCCGCTCGCGTGCACATATCCCCCCGTTCCTTTCCTGACCAGATACGGCAGGTGCGACCAATACAATCTATGAGGCTCTTAAACAGCCGCCTAATTGAAACGTTTTCTACTGTGCGGTGCATGAACCTATCAGCAGTGCTGTAGGACTGGAGTGTCGGTGACATGGTCCACAAAACTTCAGTGTGGCTTGGACCAGTTTAAAGTGCGGAATGATTACTTGAGATCTGGTCGATATTGCCACTAAACTACGCAAAACGAAATACTTCTTGATATATTTTGTAGAAATCTCAAGCGGTGGTCGAAATGGCATTCCTCTACCTATACCGTCCTCACAAGTTCCATTGTGATCAACTTATGTGACGGTGTTGTCTTGGTTGGATCATACTATTGAACAACAGAAGTGGGAAAAGAGGTTGTTTTTGGACGCCAATGAGGTGTTTATTAAGTTTATGACGGTTGAAAGTGAGTTTCAATGTGATGTCAGTTGTCTATGATTGTTTTCGACAGGCCGAATCGCAATTAGATGGTGGTTCACCGTACGCTTCTCGCTTAGTGAAGTTTGTACCTCTCTATCCTTGTCATTCTAAGTGAAAACGATTCCTTTTCGTCAAGAAAAGCAGATACGACGGCCACCGCTATCGGAATACGGTTGGCAGTGAATCGAGATGATGCGGAAGCGAGAGCGTCTCGCCTGAAAATCAGTGAATGGAGTAAAATGCTGAGTTCAGCGCAGGTTTAGACAGTATTTCAGAACTTTTGTTTCTTATACGTTGCGGCTGAATGGTCCGCTCTGCTTTACTTACGTCCACGGTCTCATGATCAGAGTGTAAATCATTTGGAGAGTGCGGACTCAACGTCGGAATGTTGACCGATCCTGTCTAGGCTTGGATACCTCGGCACTATCTCTGCTCTCGCGCTTCCTTCAGATGGCATGGCATCTAGGCACCGAAAGGGTGTTGCAGATGAGAGATTATTTTTACTACTGTATTTGTAGCTTGTCACATACAAGCATCTATCCGTTACATTTCTTGCTTCGTACACCGAACATAGACACATCGCGTCAAGTTGTCCTCAGGGACTTCAAACATCAGTGCAACGGATGTGATTATTGTAAGTCTGTTTTGTAAGTCAGGCTGTCTTTTTAGTCGCTTCTGGAGCAAGTGGTACTGCTGACCTTCTGCTTGCCACGTTCATTTCTTTTCCCTTTCGGCTTGCTGGTCCCGCTCGGTGTCTTTGGGTTCTGCTACTGTTAGTTGTCCTCTCTTTCGGTGCTGCTGAATGGTGGTATAAAACTTTGTACGTTTGTATGTTATATTATATTATAATATTATAGGCATCTAGGACCGAAAGGGTGTTGCAGATGAGAGATTATTTTTACTACTGTATTTGTAGCTTGTCACATACAAGCATCTATCCGTTACATTTCTTGCTTCGTACACCGAACATAGACACATCGCGTCAAGTTGTCCTCAGGGACTTCAAACATCAGTGCAACGGATGTGATTATTGTAAGTCTGTTTTGTAAGTCAGGCTGTCTTTTTAGTCGCTTCTGGAGCAAGTGGTACTGCTGACCTTCTGCTTGCCACGTTCATTTCTTTTCCCTTTCGGCTTGCTGGTCCCGCTCGGTGTCTTTGGGTTCTGCTACTGTTAGCTGTCCTCTCTTTCGGTGCTGCTGAATGGTGGTATAAAACTTTGTACGTTTGTATGTTATATTATATTATAATATTATACATGGTATGTTATATGTTTATATAGCAAACATTCTTCGAACGGCTTCGAAACCTTCCTGTCTCTGTATCCTGACTACCGCTTTCAGGCCTCTTAAACTGGCTTGATAGTTCTATGCTTCTAGAGGTTGCAGGTAAATGTTCCAAAACTTGTTTGCCCGTTCCTGTGGTCATTCCTTCGACCAATTTCTTTCGAATGAATACTGCTAGTAGCTTACTCTGTCTTGTAAGCAACAAATAAATAAATTTCTTAAATAAATAACAAGCAGGCTGTTTCGCCGGTTGTGAAGCGAGGAGCTGGTAGTTTCTACGGTAAGCCTCGGAAAATTCAGCTCAATTACGTGGGAAACGGGGTGCGCGTTGGATCCCGGTCAGCTGGATCTGTCAGTTCAGCAGGACAGGATTTTCTTCTCCACGGTCTGCAGCTTGTGGAGTTACCAGGTCACACAAAATACTAGCTTTCTACAAGCTAAACCAAAAAGCTGGTGACCGATTTTATCACAACCGGTTGGTCGATAACAAAACGTGTGCTTCTACGGACAAGCAATGGCTGAGCTGCTGATAGTTCCCAGACCGCGCTCGCCCGGATGGATTCTTCGAATTCTACAACGATCACCCTCACAGAGTCCCTGTGACCCAGCCATCCATGCTGTCATGAGCTGGCGGAAGAATGTGAAAATGAAGAAATTTGATAGGGCTTCATTAGTCTTCCTCTTCACGTGATCGACTTTGTGGTGCGTTAACGATGCATAATTAGAAATTGACTCTGAGTTAAACCCCGTGTTTCATAGCAGCAGGATACCCTCCGGAAGTTGGTCCAAGTAAGGGGCTGATGTGTGAAGTCAACAAATTCTCCAGTTTTACGCGTTAACTAGACAGCTTTTCCGGTACGAAGAGACTGAACCTTACCGTGGTGTGACGGTTTGCGTACCTTAGCGATCCATTTAGCTATACTGGGAAGTGTCCCCGTGACACTCACAGAGTCTCTCTTACCGGGTTGGTCAATGGCTAGAAGTCTGACGAACACAGCGTCCTCGCCCTCCATGCTTGGGGTTGGAACATGCAGCGACTTGTTCCGTAGAAATGGTAATGCATTTGCATTTCCCGCCAAACACCGTTGCCTTGCGGTTAGGCTTTTGAGCCAAAGGCTTTGGTTGTCAACAAATTCTCCAGTTTTACGCGTTAACTAGACAGCTTTTCCGGTACGAAGAGACTGAACCTTACCGTGGTGTGACGGTTTGCGTACCTTAGCGATCCATTTAGCTATACTGGGAAGTGTCCCCGTGACACTCACAGAGTCTCTCTTACCGGGTTGGTCAATGGCTAGAAGTCTGACGAACACAGCGTCCTCGCCCTCCATGCTTGGGTTTGGAACATGCGGCGACTTGTTCCGTAGAAATGGTGATGCATTTGCATTTCTCTGTCAAACAGCGCTACCTTGCGGTTAGGCTTTGGTTGAGGACCCTAATCGTCCTTCTGTCTAGGCCCTACCTACAACCATGAAATGCACACACAAAAATAAACTCATGCCACATCGGCCGTCGCGTAGTGCCACCAGCCGGGTCGCCTCACTTGCTGCATACAGCAGGGCGGGTAAGTGAAAACAGGCTACTGCTGACGCCTCCCTTCTTTCTCCTTCACATACTTTTTCTTCCCCCTCTCCCCACCCCATTAATAACTCTCTCCTTGTAGGCCCAGCACTTAGGACTGATGACTCCGGTCATTGTCTTTGTCAGTAACATGCGCATCAGCCAGTGCTGACCTACTCAGGAAGCTTGAAATCAATCTTCAAACCTCGGCACCCAGTCCATTTTGCTGTTTTTAATGCTTGCACTTTGAGGCAAGCATACCCAATAGCTGCACTTGTTCTAACGCTACCGAAGAGAGTGCTGTTTTCCATGCCCGATTCAGAGTGACGGAAGCAGAGGTAGCTAACCTTTGACCTGAACAAGATCACGACAAGTCTGGGTACTGTCAATGCGATTGGTCTTCCAGGATGAGGACCGCGTGATCCCCGCTGCGTCCGGTTGGAGACACAGCAAGATATGACTGCTAATCGATGTCAGTGGCACTCTTGTTGTCAGTTTTTACCCAGATTGTCTGAGTGAGTGTCTGTAGGCACCTCGGAGTCATTTTGGCAGGCTAGCACTGAGTCCCTCTTCTCCGTCCACTTGTTACCTGCGAATCTGGAGCGCTCTACCTGGATTGCACTGCTGAACAACTGTTGTTGAGAGACTCAGGCGGACATTGTTCACATTCCTGCTTCTTGAAGGTAGTTCCTTTTGGCAAACTGCACTCTTTCGAAGGGAAAAATTGAGAGGGTCAGTGTGTGTGACCGTTGTTGTCAGTTATGGTAAAAGTCTAATTTCCGGTGACTACTTTCCCACATGTTCACATTTAGAGCAGGGAGTTCCAGATGTACTCGACTGTCGACGCAAACTTCATTCAAGCAGTTGGAGAGATCCAACCCTTTTCATGGTGGCTCCAGACCCATTATTCATAAATTGGTGCACACACAGCAAACAGAATCTCTGCGAGAAGTATTCTCCCACGTATGATAATTTTCTTAAACGGGTTATCTCGATTATACGGGCCTTTGAACTACTTCTGGGGCTGATCTCTTTCCGGGGACAGGGTAGAATATGTCATCGCCGACTGAGTGGAAGAGTCTCTTGTGGGCATTACTGCATGATGTTAGACATCAGTACGTAACTGATGTGTCCCATAATACATATATAATTTTGGCGCGATGGCACCTGTTGAAATTCAAGGTACGATGATCCGAAAATTCTGTCCCACTTCGACGCTTAGAGGCACAGAAAGACCTAGCTAACTCATGCAATATTCGTGGAACTATACTGATTCACCCTGGTTTTCCAAGTGCCTTCGATTAGGTATGGCATTCGAGTTTCAGCAGTTGGCCAATTACGCACGGCCTAAGTGTACTACGGATCAACCAGGTTGAGAATTTTTTTTTGAAGGATCGTGCACTCCAAGCTCAGGTCTAGAACATTCCTATTCGTGAAGGATTTGCTCTCGCCCGTGCTTGTGTAGACGATGCTACCCTCCACATATCCACCTCTTGAGCCTCTCATCCGCTCCATTCGGGTTTAACGGTTGCATGCAAGCCACATTAACCGCCGGTCGGTATTCTCGATTGAGTTTCGTGGATGCGACACCGGAAAGCCCGTTTCTTCTCCACATCCACATTCCTCAGTCTCTGGCGTGTTGGGTTCTCGGTTTGTCATGTCACATTCATCCCATGCCACGACTCAACTTAATCTTTCATTTTCGAGTCTTCTCTCCATTCAAACAGCCACTCATTTATAAATCTTCGTTTCTCCCCACCATGGAATACTACTAGTCGGTTATGCAGTAGTTGATGTAATAGACACGTGAATTTGAGGAGATTGGAAAGGGAAGCTTTGCATTGAGGGCAGGAGTTTGCATGCATGTGTGAGACTACGTCATGTCTGTGACTTGATGTGTCCAGTCAAGGGAGACGGTAATAACCAGCGCAGATGAGTTTGCTTCAAATGGTTTCCATACTTTGTTAACAAGTGACTGCGTGACCTGCCCTCGTTCGTTCCTGTAGACGGTCAACTTTCAGTACGTTATGAACTTGGCTCGGTGACCTGATTCTATCAGTTCTACAGTGGCAACTGCGCTTTAGAATTCAGTCAGTTCCTTTTCTTAAGTTTTACTTACCTGTTCAGCTCAATCCATCAATTCCAGCCACCTACATGAGCTTCAAATTCACCGGTGCTACAATGGGCAGGCAGTTTAGTGGAACTGCAAAGCTATGTGACATTCTTCCGTCTGCCGTTTTTCTCGTTTTTTTTTCTATAACACTCGTTTGTTCCAAGTTGATGTCTACACGTGCATGCTTTCCTGATGTAACCATTCGTATGTTTACTCACTTTGTACGAGCTATCAATATCCCGGTGTCCATCTACTATGGGTTTGTTTCGTCATTATCACTCCTGTGCACAGTTTTCAGCACTGACCGAATCCGTACAGATCAAGGCAGCTCAGTGGTTAGGGCTTGACCGAATGGTCCGTGGTTCGAATCCAACCCCGGCAGCTCAACTACACTTGGGCAACCTGGTATTTTTTTCCTCTGGTGCTTCCGTCAGGTTGCATGGCAACTAGACATCGAAAGGGTGTTACATCTGAACAAATATTTTTATCATTATTTCTGTCTTGTGAAATTTTTGTGGCCCGTGATGTACTGCCCATGTATCTGGCTTAGTTATAATGCATGTTAACGCGACCGCGCGTAGGCTACATTTTCGAAAACTTGTTTACGATGTCTCGATTACCAAGAGTGATAATTTCGAGTGAACTTGAATTCTAGTCATTAAAACCGGTGGCTCGGTATCACTGTTGTTGAGGCCTGGTCGACCTGCGTGTATCTCAGTCATCCTGTTCCTTACAGTGTACGCAGTGTCGGAAGGACGCTGCGATCTAATTTCAGGTGGTGTCAGTTGTGCCGTTCTTTCACCTTTTACAATGGCGACACAAGGATCCTGGAGTGCGTAATGGCCGGTATCATCATCATCATCATCCTCGTCATGATCATCGTCATCATCACCATCGTCATGATCATCATCATCCTCATCGACAGCATGACATCAGTGTTCAACACCGACGCTTCACCGCCGTACTTGTGGCTGGTAGGCTTATTACGAACGGATTCAGGCTGCTATATCCCTTTCAGCTCAGTACGACAGCCTTTCTTGGAAACCATATCAATGCAGGGAGCTAGAGATCTTCGCCGAATTCTTTTCGGGAATCTGTACTCAGAACCCAACCCGGTACCCGGTAGATAACGTGAAACGACACGTTCAGATTGATTACATGACCAGTGTCACACGTGCTTTTGACCGAGTCATGAGTTTAGCCATATCCCGGCAAAAGAGATGCTGATATATTACCATGTTAGAAAGTTGCACTCAACTTTTTCCGCTGAACAATGGTAAGAGGAGCGCAAAACTATACTTTGAATGGGGACTGGCATCTTGTCTTTGAGGTTTCAACTGAATAGGTCACGGTTATAGGAAAGGCTCAAGTAGACTGGCTTTGCAACGGTCGTGACAGGCACCTGGATAGAACTTTCGGACCTATTCTTGGATATAATTCTCCCCGGATAACCGTCAGCTCTAAGCACGACAGCAGACTGTTTTAGTTTAGGGTTCATTGAATCAACAAAGCAGATTGGACTTGTTCGGTTCACTTGAGTATAAATCAGGTTTCGTTTCTGCTTCAGTGACATAATTCTGTGGAATTTCTGTAAGCGAATCTCTTAATCGAATCACTATACAGTCTGACTAGTTTAACGTTGTCACTTTTGGTTTCAAAAGTTAACTGAATTGGATTTTCGGGAGGGTTGATTTCGAAGCCGTTTGATACAAGGATGAGATGAACATCTACGTACCGTTGATAAATGTGGAAACGTGTATTCATACTCTTACTACTCACAAGGTTGCTGAAAACTCTTCGACAGCCCACGACCGGTTTCGTCCTTCTTGGGGCTCATCAGGTAGGCGCAATCCCCGAGTTTCCGTCAACCTTATGTTTTACTTGAAATAGAACTTGAGTAGTTCCCTTTAAGGAAACTATACTGCGATATCTCGAATATCGTGCCAACTGAATCGTGAGAACTTCTTATTTCGCCATTCACTCGACCAAGCTCCAGTTTACCCACAAAAATGTCAATCAACGGAGGACCACGAGGAGAGACCATGCTGACTCCATCGATTTATCGGAGCTACAGTGGAATTGTACGTTAAAAGTACAGCATAAAACTAGTTCCTTCAAGCAGAGTGTCATCATAAATCAAATTTATAGTCTCAGTGAGTGGAAGGTTGGTAAAAAGGCTATTTGAAGAGAGCACATGGATTTGGAAATGTCCTCAGCCTCTTTTATCGTCTCCACAAATTCAAAAATCTCACGGAGACAATATTTGCAACTTGCTAAGAGAATACGTCAGTATATCCCTTTCCGAAGCATTACCAGACTCAACGGTCCGGCCAAAAGCTCAATCGCGTCCGGCCGAATTGACACTGGTCACTTGATCAATCCGAACGAGTAATTTCACGTCATCTACTGAGTACTCAATAGACTGCTGACATCGATCCAACGACTTAGCTTGACTATAGTCGGAGCAGTCGCAATACGGTTGCAAAAACGATTCGTACGAGCCCTAAGTCTGCCTTGGTCATGTGACACGAATCGATCGACCCCGTCGCTCAACAGCCCTCTAGATCACCTTACAGCAGCAACCAATTGCCTGTGTTTCCGAATTTCTAATTGTTTTCTTGTTGAAAGTATGGTATCAACTACCTCTCTCGGATGACCCGATTTGTGATAAACCTATCCACACTGCCAAGGTCAACTATAGGCAAGTAGTTGGCTGAGTGGACGCGCTTGCTTATGCGATAGATGTTTTTTCGCCCCAAGTTTAGCCGTTCCTTGAACACGTCGACGTCTGCCTTATCTTTCGGTTAATTTTCCCCTTTGGAATTCGAGGGGGGGGGCGAGATGGCCCAAGTGGTTAGAGCGCGAACCCGACCTCTGCCCCTCGACTTCCCCTGTCTAGGCTTGAACAACCTGGCAGTATCCCAGCCCTCGTGCTTCCTTCAGGTAGCATGGCAGTCAGGCGCCGGAAGGGTGTTACAGCTGAACAACTGGAATTCGAGGGGGTTAGCCATCCTTGGCGTTCTGCTCATCGAGTATTATAAATGGCATGGATTAGTTTACTTATTTCGAATTAAGTGCGCCTTTCACCTAGTCTTATTCAGCCACATTGTACGTCATTTTGGTTATGATCGTTCTCTTTGTCTATCTTTCTCCTGCAAGGGCCACTCTATCGATGCATTTTGCGTAGGAACTCATCTTGTCACGTGTCAGAAACAGCCCGCTTTGGGTTGCGTGTACAAATTGGTTGAGATAGCCGGAATACCCACAATGAAACTAAGCGCCCAGGTGGAAAAGGTGACACTACCCGGGAAGAAAACTGTCTATCGCTTGTACAGCAAAACAGGTGAGTTGTTTGCTTGTTACTTTCTCCATTTCTGCTTTTGTGTGCTCACGTCGGTTTTGTGTGGATTACTTCTGAAAACAGTTTTGCGTTATCTCTTAGGGACAGTGGCTTCCACATTCGTCTGAAATAAAGTATGGTTTCCCCAAACCGTTGGCCATCCATTACCTTAGATTAAACTCACCTTCTGAGGTTGTCTTTCGAAAAGTAGTTGATATATCGCTACAGGTTGTTTATTTATTTTGACGTGATAGGGTGCTTTCGACAGCACCTACCTCGTCTCCCCGCATTCCGTTGATCCTATTGTCAAGTTCCTTTTACCTTGCTCCATCAAAAAAGGTGAGGCCCTGGTGGATCTACTCCAGCGTAGCGATGAACCTGCCCCGAAGGTCAATGAACGCATTCTCTGTCGACATCCTAGTGAAGCATCGAAACGTGTTTTTGTTGTCCCGGCTCGGATCGAGGAGACGCTCAAACTTTTCTGGAAACGAGGCCAGGTAAGGTTGTCTATGAGAAACTTGTCGTGGATAGATCGCTCTCTGGTGCGCACTATAGCAACATCCGCTGTTTGTGATGAAAGAATCAACTACCACTAAACCAGAATGAATCTCATTCCGATTCTATAAGTGTGGTTCACAACAAACGAGGTCACCCACAGTCTCTGATCGATAGATACGGGGTGACCAATATCACTCACCCAAATTTGCTGGTCAATGAAGCCAACCGGGAAGCAGTTCATTGTGCGCTAAGTTGAACCATGTGATTACATTCACTTGAAAAAGCATGGCTGAATCGCAGTGCTCTTACCTCGCTTCATACGCAGCAATCGATACTACATCCTCCAAATAAGACAAGGAGTGTTCTGTATTTGTCATTTCTGGTGAACCTCGAGACAAACGTTTCACTCGAGGTACAGAGACAAATGTTGGTCGTTGGTTTGTTCGCTCAACTGGACGATCTCGTTGCAAACGCTTCATCACCAGTCGGAGTGAATTCAGAGTGGAAGATCGTGGCTGTCGCGCGCGCAGGCATTGATATAGAGTCTACCCACCCAGATCGCCCTTGACCGACCATTGGTCGTTTTGGGGTAGCATTCCCATTGGCTTGTTTGTTGATCTGTCTTCTGATTCGTAGATGAATTTGTAGCCTTGGGACTTCACCTATCCGGTCCACCCTACCTTGGTTTTTGTTCGTTAGCCTCCAATGTGGGCCCGGATTCTCGGTCCGTTGGTGTGATGGTAGAGGCTAACTAAGTGTCACCTCTGAGTTGGAGATCCCTCCCTCGTAGCAGCACTGGAAAAGGTTGACTTTGACATGCCGGTTGATTAAATCCTTTGAGGAGTGTTACGCTTCGAAGAATTCCCTCTCGTGTCTTGTGCGTCCACGTACTACGCTCTTCGTGCATGCACTTCCACTCACAACGCACTGATTATGCACCTCGACTGCCCAGCAAAGTGAGACAAAAACCAACGGCCATCAGTACAACCTGAGCCACCAATATTTCCTCCAACTTCGTGCGAAGACGTATGTGTATGTGCGCAGTATGCATGCGAAAGCTGAAAAAACAGCCGTTAACCTGAGGGGACAATAGTAGAATGAACTTAGCTGGGGACGAAGAGGCCGTGCGGTGGAAAAGTCGTTGGGCTATTCGTTTCAAGACTCTGAGGTCATCAGGTGGGCGAGATAGGGAATCACAGAGTTTTCGTACTATCTTGCATACAGAAACACACCGGTGCTGTGCAATGCACGCGAGTTCTGATCTGGCCTACGGGGGTCCGCCACACCATCCGGCACTTGGATGTAATTCAAACGTGAAAGCCAACTATCTAAAACTAACACTGTATGAGAAGTCCCCTAGTTTCCTTAGCAATCGCGGACACCACTCGAGCGTCTGCACGTACAGCGGTCAGCATCTGAAAGTAAATGGTCTTTTTGATAGTCAAACAAAGTAGTGGGACAATCACCCGTCTCCCGTAGATTTTCATGATTTGCATACCAACTGATTCGCACTGCCTGGCACATCATGTCTCACGTCTGCTTCTAGCCAATACACTCTTGATCTCATGGAGATCGTAAACAACACGCACCGATTGCGTTTTAACACTACAAGGTCACTTGAAGTTCGTGCGTTTCGCTCAGTTTTGAGATTAGAACAAGAGGTTTGCGCATGTAAACATAATCAAGCGGAGTTCCGTGAATTTCCGTTGATATGACACGAAAGTGTTGAAATATTTCCGTCACATCAAATCGCCCGAATTTGCATTGATTTCAACACTACACAGGTAGAGTTGGGGAGTTGACTGAGGAACTAGCCAAATCACTGATGAGGAAGGTTCACATGCGGGTAAGTAAGTTTCTAGCTGTAAGGAGTATGTGAGGTGAACGTAGTGAATTACTGCTTGACCGAGTGGGGGGGGGGGCGACCGTTGGGAAGAATTCGCCAAGTAGAGTTGGAACAAAGGGCATATCAAACCAGACATTATTCAAGGTTCTAAAGAAAACCTAGACGTAAGTCAGCAAGTTTCTCTGAGACCCTGAAAGAGTCAACGATAAATCCCCAAAGGGAGAGTATAAACAACATCAAAGTTATGGCTTACATAGCTGATGAGCCCCAAGAAGGGCGAAACCGGCCGTGGGCTGTCGAAGAGTTTTCAGCAACCTTGTGAGTAGTTTCCTTTATGAAAACAGAAAGCAGTTTGGATGTGAGAACACCATCTAAGGTTATCGATAGAGATATATGGGAGTATATTCCATACTAACAAATCGGGGGAGCGGGCCACTGAGAACAGTGAGGGCTTGTCAAGTACTGAATAGGTCAGTGTAACCTTCATAGGCGGGGAAGAAATGGTCTTGGGATTCGGGGATACTGAAAATGAGAAACCTGAACAACTAAAAATTTCGCCCAAAACAGTTTATAATTTCACGTTTGCACGTGATAGCCTCAGCTAGTCATTAGCGGGAATTCCAGGGGGTGTATACCTTCTACTTACAAAAAAGTCGGGGAAACGACACGTTGGTGAACACTGATAGCAGTGGATATATTGCAGAACTAGCCGCTAATGTTTGTGAGTTGTGTGCGATTTGTAGCGTAGCCTGAAGAAGCTATGTTCACACAGCCAGTACCGTGTGAAACAACAACGCAGCTTTCATCATCCACAACATTGTCAACTGTGTTAACCATGTACTCGTCGTACAGTGGTTGTAGCTGCCGCAGTTTCGTTCACCGATGATTTGGGGGGAGGAGTAGGTAGCTGTGCATTGCAGGCGGGAGCTGATAGATTGGTGCATAAATCCAACACTGTCAGTGGGCTGTCAAGTGAAGGGGGGTTGGAAAAGGAGCTGTGCATTCAAGGCGATAGCTTGGATGCACGAGCGTCATTGAGGGCGCAACTGGGCCATGTCTGACAATGTCTCTAACTATTGATGTGGGCCGTGTCGGGATCCCCATCCAGGAGGACAGCAATGACCAGCGCAGCTGAGTTTGCTGGTAATGGTATTCACACTTCGCTGCCTTCCATCCTTCACGTGGTTGTGCGAAAAGAGCCCTTCGAGGAAGTCGGTCAACTGGCGTACACAACATGTGACCAAGCCAGCGCAACCTATTCTGTGTGATTAGTTCATCTATCGAGGGTGAGTTATTTCTCCCGAATACCTTTCGACGTACTTCAGAATTGCTGATCCGGTGTTCCCACCAGATTCGGGCAATGCTCCGAAGACTTCGATGGTCAAACACTGAAAGTATTTTGACGTCCTCGGCGCGCAGCGGCCAGGTTTCTGACCTGTATAGTAATATGGAGCGCACCGCAGTATTGCAAACTCGACCCTTGACAGAGGCTGATTTCACGCCTACGCCACAGGTGACGTAGGTTCGCAAAAGCTGCTCTGGCCTTCCCAATCCGGATGGAAATATCATCTTTCGCGAGACCACCAGGACTGATACAGCTGCCCAGGTAGGCAAACTTATCTACTACCTTAAGTGGCTCATTCGCAGGCATGAGGCTAGGGTTGCGGGATTCTGTAGAAAGCGTACTCACGTGACTCTCGTTTGAATAATCGTCTTTGTGTCGTGACGCAACCATCCTGGTGAGTCCACATTAAAGGGGGGGGAAGCACTGGACTCGAGTTTCGCTCTTATTAGAGCTCATCCAATGGCCGTGCCGGGGTTCGAACTCCGCACATGCGACATGCGAGGCGAGCGTGTTACCACTGCTCTATCGGTGTACGCCGGACTCACCCGGATTTTTACGTCTGAACAGGTGAACATGTTCGCACCTGAGTGATGGAAACGGAACACCTGACGCCTCGAACGACAACCCAGTAATAATCGACTGGCCGGCCAGTCAGGTAACGTCACAAACGCTTGAAACCTACTGAACGCATTTTTGTTTCAGGTGTTGGTTGCGAGATTTTGTAGAACACATACTCACGTGACTCTCTCCTATTTAGTACTGAAGTACTAGGTAGACAACAGTGTGCACTGCGGAACCAGATTGCCGGTATGCAACTAACCAGAGGACTTGATCTAACAGGATGCTTGTGACTCAGTAGCATTCTTGCAAGCACTTTCACTAGAAAACGGGTGGAATCAATTGACTTCAGAACGCATATTGGTTGTCTGCGAGTATCTGTACACTTTCCCGGCGACAAGAGCGATAGATGACTGGAACCACAAGTTCACTTGGATTCATAGACCCCACGTTTCTGACGCACTATTGTCGGCGACGGTGAACATGAATGCAGTTGTTAGCCATGACAGACGTGAACATTTTCTATCTCGGCGCTCTCAAGTTTTGTTATTCATAAATCATAGGCTTTCGCGGCATTCAACGGTTTTTACGTAATTTTGTTACAGAAACCGATCTGGATAGTTCTTGTCTTGCAGAACGTTAGTTCACTCGACAAACTATCCGGGGTGAACACAAGATTCAGTGATCATTGCTTCGTCCACAAGGGTTACATCATTAGTCGAGATGGCGTCAGAGGTAGTGTACAACTCCAACAAGGGCCTGTCACAAAACAAGGATCTTTTCTAGATAAGCCCGGCCAAAAAATTACCCCCCGCCACCCAAAAAAGATGAGAAAAAAGGACACAAAATTTGTACTTTCGGTTTTTGTTGAAGGGGGTGAAATTGGGATGTCATTAATACTTTGCATGAAAAGGTCCGTTTTTCGGTACCTTTGCATCCAAACGAACTCACAGCTGTCCACTAAAGATCGGTGTGTGCCACATTGTAGACGTGTGCATCTTATAGACGTGTCAAACAGATTCGATGGTTTGTGTGTGAGCTCCAGTCGTTGGACCCACAAAGTTTTCGATATGATTAACCGTTTCATGAGTATAATTCAAGTCAATTGGCGTTTTTATGATGACTGAGCCGGGAGCGATGCAGGCCCGGACTGTGTGCATCAAAGTGGCCGCAGTTCGATCTGGCACTGCATACATGAACACCTCTTTAGTTTCCCGACAGATCCCTCCCAAAATCCACTACTGGGGAAGGACTCACCCTGCGTGGTTTTTACGGCGAGATATTAGCGTTTCATCGATCTCGACGTGTAGACCTGGGCCGCTGATAACTGAAAAAGCCTCCGCCAGGCGCAAGCTTCGAGAAGAAAGTTCTTCCAGCCAACAGCGGTTGTGTGGCTAATAGATGATTCCTCTGAGCAGAATGTGATTTCTTTTCCAAATTTTTGGACCAGCAATTACTGTCCTAAACTCCATCCTAGACCGCCCCAGCCAAGTTCTCTTTCGAAGACTGATTTCTTGCCGACTGTGTCGGTTATTACACCTCCACCGGTCATAAACAGCTGTCATTTGGTGGCCATTGTTGCATAAACATTGCTGATGGATCACTCCGTGGCTTTGCAAAAAACGTATTGCCGTCTCCTTGTCATAAACGAGAGGTGAAAGCGTCAGCCTAGATGCGGATAAGTAATAGTTTTCATCGAAATTAGGTCAATGTTGTGTGCGTACATTAGATGGGATCTGGCAAAAAGTGGCGGGGCTTGTCTGGGAAGCATCCCAAAACAGTTGGTCTGAAATTAGCGAATATACACTCATCTGCAAACTAATTTGGTTCTTTCGAGAGACGTAAGGTTGACGGAAACCCGGGGACTGCGCCTACCTGATGAGCCCCAAGAAGGGCGAAACCGGTCGTGGGCTGTCGATGGATTTTTAGCAACCTTATGAGTAGCACATTACAAATATACAAGTTGCCCCTTAGTTAACCCTCGTTTGTCCCATAATATCATAATTTGCTGGACACCTGATGACCAGCCCAATTCGCTACTTTGTTTTATTTTTCTTTTTATTTTCATGTCATACCCGCATCCGAGATATCCTGACGCTATTTTCTCCATTTTCACCACAGTTATCCACGCCGTTGTCCACGCTCGAACAGTCCCGCGAACGTGTGCAAAAGGAAATCAAATCACTCCGACCGGACTACACACGCTTGCTCAATCCCACCCCGTATAAAGTTTCACTTTCAGAACAACTATACAATTTCACTTATGATTTATGGCTTCGAATGACTCCGATCAGCGAGTTGAGCTAGCTTCGAAGTTCGACTCGCTCCAGGAGGCTCCCGTTGGGTCATTTTCTGATCATTTTCGCTATTTCATTCGAGCTGTTTGAAGCTTTTGGCTGAGCGCATTGTACTATCTTGTCTGTCGCCCAATCGATTTGCTGCTATCAGTTATTTTGACGAAAAAAATTGGTGGGCGAATAGGCTGAAGCGAATTGAACACGTTTCAAGAAGTATGCGACAATGTGAATCGCGACTCATTGGTTGCTATTTGTGTCTGTGACGCTCAATTCCAACTAATCGCTACACGGTTGCGTCACTCGGTGGTTATTTGATAAACAGCTGTCATTTGGTGGCCATTGTTGCATAAACATTGCTGATGGATCACTCCGTGGCTTTGCAAAAAACGTATTGCCGTCTCCTTGTCATAAACGAGAGGTGAAAGCGTCAGCCTAGATGCGGATAAGTAATAGTTTTCATCGAAATTAGGTCAATGTTGTGTGCGTACATTAGATGGGATCTGGCAAAAAGTGGCGGGGCTTGTCTGGGAAGCATCCCAAAACAGTTGGTCTGAAATTAGCGAATATACACTCATCTGCAAACTAATTTGGTTCTTTCGAGAGACGTAAGGTTGACGGAAACCCGGGGACTGCGCCTACCTGATGAGCCCCAAGAAGGGCGAAACCGGTCGTGGGCTGTCGATGGATTTTTAGCAACCTTATGAGTAGCACATTACAAATATACAAGTTGCCCCTTAGTTAACCCTCGTTTGTCCCATAATATCATAATTTGCTGGACACCTGATGACCAGCCCAATTCGCTACTTTGTTTTATTTTTCTTTTTATTTTCATGTCATACCCGCATCCGAGATATCCTGACGCTATTTTCTCCATTTTCACCACAGTTATCCACGCCGTTGTCCACGCTCGAACAGTCCCGCGAACGTGTGCAAAAGGAAATCAAATCACTCCGACCGGACTACACACGCTTGCTCAATCCCACCCCGTATAAAGTTTCACTTTCAGAACAACTATACAATTTCACGTATGATTTATGGCTTCGAATGACTCCGATCAGCGAGTTGAGCTAGCTTCGAAGTTCGACTCGCTCCAGGAGGCTCCCGTTGGGTCATTTTCTGATCATTTTCGCTATTTCATTCGAGCTGTTTGAAGCTTTTGGCTGAGCGCATTGTACTATCTTGTCTGTCGCCCAATCGATTTGCTGCTGTCAGTTATTTTGACGAAAAAAATTGGTGGGCGAATAGGCTGAAGCGAATTGAACACGTTTCAAGAAGTATGCGACAATGTGAATCGCGACTCATTGGTTGCTATTTGTGTCTGTGACGCTCAATTCCAACTAATCGCTACACGGTTGCGTCACTCGGTGGTTATTTGATTCGTACCCAACATCGATTTGTACGCCCCAGCTCAATGTTAGGTGTGAATGGAGGTGATCTGTCTCAACCGATTCTAGTCGATTATGTTCTGAATTTGAACCAGTACCAACCACGTTAGTCCATTCTGGAGTCCGATGAAATTTCAGCAAACAAACAGAATTGTTTTGGATTCATTGAAAGTCACAGAAAGACACAGATATCGACCACGCAGACGACAAAGCTCTTCTTGAATCTGACGCCGTGGTAATCCAGACAATACTAAACAGCCTAAATAATGGAAACTACCCACAGGGTTGCTGAAAACTCTTCGACCTTGTGAGCAGTTTCCTTCATGGAAATATACTGCGATATCTCGAATATCGTACCAACTGAAACAAGAGGCGGCCTGTGTGCAGCGCGTTCAGTAATAGAACATCACAGATGAGAGGTTCACTTGAGTCTACCGTGAAAACCAAATTGATTGCAAATGAGTGTCTTTGTCGAAATCTAAATAATTCTGCCTCAAGGTTAGCCATGTGCTTCATAAATGCAACCTGCTCCTGCGAGACTGGGTGGGCTCGAACCCAAGCGTTGTGCTTCCGAAAGAGCCAATTGAGGTAGAGAAATTTGTTTACCTTGGCAGCTGTATCAGTCTCGCGAAAGATGATATTCCCATGCGGATCGGGAAGACGAAAACAGATTTTACGAACCTGCCTCACCTATTTTAGTAGGCTTATCCGTCAGGGGTCGAGTTTACAATGCTGCAGTGCACTCCATCTTATTATACGGGCCAGAAACCTGGTCGCTGCGCGTTGAAGCCGTGAAAACTGTAGGGGTTTGACTATTGCGCGGGTCTGGTGGGAACATCAGATCAGTAGTGATAAAGTACATCGGATGGTCCATGGAAGGGGCAACTCACCCAGGATAGATGAACTGAACACACTCCATAGGTTGCGCGGGCTTGGTCACGTGCTCCGTATGCCGGTTGACGGACATCTTCTAACAGTCCTTATCGCACAACTACGTGAAGGGTGGAAATGAGCCACGGTAGGTCAAACGGTAACTGGTCAGCGAAGTAAGAAAAAAAGGCATTGCCAGCAAACTCGCCTGTTCTGAACATTGACTTTTCTGTAGATGGGGACAAGATGGCCCAAGTGGTTAGAGCGCGAATTTACTGACCGACCTCTGCCTCTCGACTTCCCCTGCTCTGGGCTTAGGCGACCTGGCAGTATCCCAGCCCTCGTGCTTCCTTCGAGTGACGCGGCAGCTAGGCACCGAAAGGGTGTTACAGCTGAACGATGGGAACCCCGAGACGGGACACATCAAT